TTCATCTGTTGGATTGTCACTTTTCCTCCTGTCCTTCAGCATTCCTCCTACTCTGCCTTTAGAATGTTTAATCACACAACGTAAGGCTTTTTAACAGGAACAAGGGCACCTTTAAGATAAAGACACAAGAACTTTAAACAAATACAACATACAGCCGTGTATTTAATAAGCCTGACTTGCATATGTACACACGCATGACACAGCCCTTCTTCTCCCACTCAAGACATAGGGCCAAATATTACTCACTGTGTGATGCCCATCCTCCATCTAAAGCTGATACTGATTCCTTCAGGGTTAAACCAGCACCATTCAGAGCAGCTGAGGAGGAAAGGTCAAATCAGAAGAAATTCAGCTTGTAGCACTGCTGAATGTCGAGGGGCAAAGGCGTGGTGGGGCTTGTAGGTAAGTTAAGCATTAATTTGTAAAGCATGTTTGTCATGCTAACTATCCAGCACTCAGAGACTGATGATTACTACCTTCCTAATAGCAGCATATGATTAACTTTATATTCTTGTAAATTTACTGTGCATAGTGCTTGTGCTATATCTGATGAAACCCATGTACTTATCAGCTGATCTTTGAGCCATGATGCCAAATATGCAAGGCAATCTTTTCTTGTATAATCATTACTTTAGAAAAAAGAGGCAGAAATACGGTGAGTGTAAAGTAGCATAGACCTTGATTAGTCACACTACAATGAAAAGCAGAAGCACAGTCCTGACTATAGTGGCTTTTGACCTCTGGTTCACCCCCAGATGCATCTGGCCTGCAATGATTGTAACTAGGACATAATCAGACAGATCATGTACAAAAATTGCCATCTTATCTATGCGCCTTAAAATGTTAAATGTGCATTTCCTCATCTGCCCACCTAAGCAAATAGGGAAAAGTGACTCTTTCTGCCTTTTTCCAAGGCACAAGCTATGGTGTTGAGACTGCACATCAGCAGCGCAAGCCTCTTCTTCAGCATCATGTACAAAAGTAAAGCAGGCGGCCACATGACAAGGAGATGTCAAATTTGCTATGAGGACCTCTTCAGAAACAGCTCTGCTCTCAGTCTCCCCAGCCCAGCTGTGGTATCAATCTGTGGCCTCTCTCTGGGTCCCTTACCTGGGGCTTTAGTAACTACTGGAAAGCAGATGAAAGGATCAGCCTTCCAGCTGTGCGCAGTGCCTCAGGTGAGTGCCAGAGGGGCCCCAAAAACGTTTTGCAAATGTATGAGGTTTACCTCTGGCCTCAGGGAGTAAAAGGAGGGAGTCAACTGAGTCAATGCTTGGTGCACGTAGCTTGAGAGTTCAGTTTAGGATGCACCCAAGCGACAGTATGACTGTAGCAAGGCAGGATCTGAAACACCTTCTGCTGTGTCCTTGCCTACAGGCCAGACCAATGCCACTGCACTAATCGTTTGCATCTGCCAAACAGGAAAGCAGGGTTTAACTAGTTTTGATAATTATTACTTGATGAGCCTTGGATAAGGCTTTGGGCAACCTGGTGTAGTGGAGGGTTTCCCTGCCCATGGCAGGGGGCTTGGAACTAGATGGTCTTTGAGGTCCCTTCCAACCCTAACCATTCTATGATTCTATGAATCTTTCTAAATGCAGAAGTCTTAGGTGAGCACAAGGAATCTTACAAAAATAGCAATTTCACAAAAAGGCAGCAAGAAGCAACAGGTCATGGGAAGTAGCTGGGAAGGAAGACGGGAAGAGTTATTGATTAATATTCATGAAAAAGATCTCCAGAACAATGGTGGAGAAACAGGTAGTGTGCTGAGACAAATGTCACGTGCATCAACACTGCGCATTTAACCCCAGGAAGTCTCAAGAGACATAAAATGAGCCAAAACTCACAAGGTCTCCACTAACGAATGGCCAGTGATAGCTCAGGCTGGTCCAGTACAGGGAATGGACATTTGATGTGGCCAGCTGAGGTGGCTGGTGGCACTGCCTATATGGGACCATGCACTCCAGTATAGGTTTCCTGTGCCAGGACTGCAACCAGGTCTTCCAGAAAGTGGGAAGAACAACTCTTCCCTTGACATCCTAATATATCTAGATTTTAAAGTCATACATAGGCTCTAAGGTGATACAGCAGGATTGTTTTCTACCCTACACACAACCACTGCACAGCACCAGCACACACTGAACTTATCAGAAACGGCTCAGCACTGTTACAACAATAATAATAACAATACAATGGTACCTGCACCAGCACACTAGGTTGAAACAAAATGCAATGCCTGAACGCTAAAGAGCACTAAATGCTTCTCTCATCACTCTTATCACAGGTATCTCTACTGAGCGTGGGTGGTTTTTGCTTCATATTTCATCTCCAGCAACATACAACGAAGTTGCAAATGGCGTTACTAAGCATGCCAAAATGCCCGTGCAGTAAAGATAACACTGAAATTGTGATATAAATCTATTTTCAGCTATCATCTGAATATTCAGGATGTCTCCTCTTATCTCTGTTATATATTATTTTTATATTGTGAAAGATGACAAGCACCAAATGACAAGAGCAATCAGGATATAGAAATTACCTCCTGGGACAGAGCTGTATGTTCTCACAGGCCTTCTTTTGTCTTTTACCTTTTATTTTTATGATTAGTCAATCACTATTTAGCCACCTCAGGGAAATGCAAGGTGAATTAGGAGAAAGAAGGTCAAGGTTATCATGGAAAAGTTTAATCCCTCCTCAGTGGGAACCAGTTAATAGCTATGGCTAGACTCAAGGACCTCTGTTGGGAATCCCAGTGAAGGTCAAAGGCAGAGAGCAAAAAAAAGCTGCACTGAGATCTTAGACAGTCATAAGCAGACAGATGTTCCTAGGCTTTAATGAGCAGTCTTGGCTCCAGGCCTTTCTTGGCAGAGCTGCTTAGTTTTAGTATTTTTCCTTGTAGTGTAAGGTATGGCTCTGGTTAGCTGGCTCTGCTTAGCTAACTGCTGGGGACTTTTCCACCTAAATAATAGCTTGACAACAAAGAAACCAGTTCATAATCTGTGATTTGATGGATTAGGTCACAAAGAATGTTGTGCAGTTGTAATCATGAGAAGTAAAAATAAATAAAAATAATAATTTTAGTTTAAATGAGAACCAGTTTTAAAAGTTTAAACAGCAAACCTGACGGAGTTCCTACTGCAAGTTCTGCCACTCCATCTTACTTTTTTATCGTCATGGACAATAAACTGAAGGAAAATAACATGAAATGGACTTTTTCTGTAATAATTCCATTTCCAAGTCAGCCTGGTGGGGACCATGCCCCTGCTTTGGAAACTCATTTGCGTCCAGCAGTCCTGAGATTTTTCTCTTGACAATTTGCTATGCCTAAATGAAATATATTAAATTGGAAAGTACAGGTTTAGCAAACATCTTCTGTACAGAAAGCAGAAAAAGCTACAAATCCAACTGTTATCAAACTGTGAAATCAGTAATTTTCACTAAAAAACGGAGAAATAGCCTTGTTAAAAATTTTGAAGACTTTTAACCCCTGTCTGTTAGGACACAATTTCCTTAATGCAATAGCCACCGCAGCACTTGGAGGAGAATATTTTGTTCTTTGACATGCATATAGCAACCCTGATACAACCAGTGACAGAATTCAGTCTCTTTTGCAATATTTCTGAGCCTCACATTTCTGGCTGTCACAATTGGTCTGATATAATACGATATCATGAATGGGAATACTCTAATGGGATAAGCCCTGATTTTAGACTGGTTTTCATTACTATAGTCCAGATTCTGGTCTCAGCGAAGGAGATGGAAACGTCTAGGTGGCTCAAACATGAGCAGTCTTTGGATCTCAATCAGTTACAAGTCAATAAAAATCTTAAGAACCTTACATTGGCAGGTTGTACAAATTCTTTGCTCCCTCTGTGTTCTCAACTGATTCTCTTTTCATTTTGGAGGCGATGAATTATGTTTCTTTGAAGCTCTTTTTTAGCACATCAGAATCTAATCCACCACTGGCGGGTTCAGTAAAGCTCACCCTTTCCAGAACCAAGTGTGAAATCTGCTTTGTGATAAATATCTACTGGTGCAGGAGCTCTGGGCTCGCTCCCAAGCTAAATTCATTTATATTGCAGCAAAACACCTGCCTCTGTGTCATCATGAAAGCGACTCTCTATTGTAAGGTACAATTCAGTCTCACAGACAAGATTCAGATTACATTTTTCCCCCCCTCTGCAGGAGAGGAACAGATGTCCTTAGCAGCCAAAAGGAGCTTCCTCCCTCCTCCTCTACCCAGCTTTTATTTCCAAGTCATGAGTCCTAAAACTCTTCAGAGTCAATTGGCTAGGGTTGATTGTTTCCATGACACCAGCCCCTTCCCACAGCTACTTGATGCTCAGGATAATTAGTCTACATGACACCTGCCGACTGGAAATGACAGATTTACACTAGGATTGTACCCAGGGTCTCCATATATTCAGCCTAGCTATCACCACAATGGGTCCCTCTGGATCAGCAGTACCCCAGACAAGTCATGGGACACTAAACCAGCTCCACTACTACCCAAGCATCTGGTCCATCCCATCAACAAACGGGTTTTGTACACTTTGTGGGTCAGAGCAGAGGCTCTCTCTGCTCCATACCATGGCTGTTCCCCCAAAGGCTGGGCAACAGCTACCACCCCACAACATGAGACACCAATAAGAGTGATGCCTACCTTGCCAACAGGTATTATAATTGCTGCTGTTGCAGAACGCAATGGTGAGATTTTTGGAGGAAGCACAACAAGCTATGAGAGACAGGCAAAGGCAGGATAAATATTCATACAAATGCTATGTAACAACTCAAAATCTTTTAAAGGTTTGGCTTGACGTGCGGTCAGCTTTCTTGTCGATCTTGCCAAAGTTTGGATGGAGGATGGAAGTCTATTACAAAAGTCACAGAAATTATTGACTTATAAACATATTTTCTCTAAATGGCAAGTCTTTCTTTGTTCAGCATCAAAATATAAATGCAGAAGGTAGAACAGTAAAATCGTGTAAAAGAGAGCTTACCTGAAGAGGCTGAAGAATCATAAGTACTTCTGTCCTTCCTATTTGTCCTGAAGGGCTGAATCTCCTTTTCCCTGTAAGTTCCAAATCCTTCAAAGCTTCTTCTTTTATTCCCACTTGCATCATCCCGCTTCTCACTCGAGGAATTCATTTCACCAAACACGTCCAGGGCCTCTGACCTTCCATTACTCTCGGTATTACCAGAGTACCTCTTTGTGCAAGAGTCAATGGGATCGTTGCTTGAGTCGCTTTTATCTTTACTCTGTGTCCACTGCTGGGCATCAGAAAGTGATAACGTAGACAGCGTATCAACTTCGAAGTTACTCTTTGAGCCTTTGTGTCCGGTTTCACAATGCTGGTGCTTCTGCTTCTCCTTGTGCTTGCTTTTCTCGTTGAGCAAGGAGAGGTCTTTATCTGAGCCACTTAGCCTTTCATTGATCACATGGCTGGAGAAGCCAGTGGACTTGCCAGCAAAGAGACCACTCAGATCTTCATGTGTCCCCAGTATCCGTTCGTCCTTATGCTTGTGCTTATGTTTGTGTTTTCTTTTGTGAAGTCGGCCACTTGAAAGGCTTGTTCCTCCAACCTTTGGAGAAGCCAAAGAGGACTGCATGTCTCCAAGGCCCATTCCCACAGATGTTTGTAGGTGCACTCCGTGTTTCGCTTTATGCTTGGCAGTGGTGGACATTTTCATGTGAGAGCTTGCATGGAATTGTGGTGGGGGCACGGTAGGTCTCATAAATGGGGAAGCCGCTCCAAGCGTGTGAGACAGGTACAAAGGAGCTGGATACTGACCATAGTAACCAAGATTCATCATAGGCATTGATGTGTAAGGCATTCCATAGGGTGCATAGTAACTCCCACTGGGAATAGGGTAACCGAACCCTTGTAAAAAAGGCACCTTTGTCATGGTGTCATTGGTTTTGGCAGGTCTACCACGCTTCTTCTTAGACTTCATGTCAGAGGTCCTGCGAAGATAGAGCAATGGGTCATACTGGATATATGGCACAGGATAGTAGTGATCAAAATTAATCCTGAAGATGCTGGGATATGGATTTTCATGATAAAATGTGTAACTTCTATGGGAAATCCTGAACACTTGAAACTTATTGATGAGTTCCTCAAGGTCTGCCAGAAACTGGAGGTCATCTCTGTTCTGCAGGCTTTTCCTTTTCCTCTTGTGCTTTGGCTTTTTAATACTCTCATGAGAGAGAAAGTTATCCACAATGAGATGTTTCTGCCGGTGACCATGCCTGTTCTTTGTGCTGGTGTCAGATGGGATAGCCTCTGGATTGTCCAGGGTGCAGAAATCAAAGGAGTATCTCCGGCGGGATTCTGAGCTTTTCTCAGCTTGGTCAGAAGTGCTGTTGTTGTCTGTACCTATCCCACTGTCGCTTGGAATTGTTTCCTCACTGTGAGACTCGCTCACTGGCGACAGCGTGACTTCTTTCAGAGAACCTATTTCACAGAGGTGAGAAGGTGAATTAGCCATTAACCTGGGTGGAGACAGCTTCCAAGTTCCACTGTGCATTCCTTTCTGGGTTTTTGTAGGAAGAGCACTGATAGGTTGAAGATTTGGCATAGTTTTTAGCTCTGAAAAATTTGTTTCAGTGCTTGCAGGGCTCAGGTTGCCATTAGTCCCCACTAACTGTGTTGAAAGTGGATGAATAGCTGCTGGTGACGATGCCACAAGTGACTGCAGGTTGGAAGGCACTGTTGGGTTTTCTGGCTGGCTGGAAACAGGCCTTGAGTGCTTGATGGCTGTCTTAGGTTCTTCTGGCTGAGGCTGCAGCTCTGCTCTTGGCTTTCTGCCCCGCTTTTTACCAATGTAGATAGTTCCCCTCTTGCTGACATTGATCTGCTTCCCTAGTCTGGCATCAATGGTGGTTGGCCCAGCACTACACGGTGGCTGGATCTTTGCTTTCAGAGCTATGCTGCTGGAGCAGGAGGACAAGATCTGATTGAGAATATTCTTCCTCTTGAGGGTCTTCATTTTATTAATGGTCTTGATGGTCTTCTTATCCAAGACCCCGAGCTTTCCGACCTTCTTGTGAAACTTTAGTTCACTGATGGACTTGTCCTCTCCTGGGACCATCTGAGCCAACTTGGCCAGATTCCGTCTCCTCTTCCTTTTCTTTGTTCCTGGAAATTCACGATTAATTGGACTCACTGGGCTGGTGGAGGTTCCCTCATGAATGGTTTCAACAGTGAGCAAAGGCTGTTTCTTTGGTCGTCCTCTTTTTTTCTTGACAGGTGTGATCACAGTAAGACTGTCTGTATTGGTATATAGAGGGCTGGATGGCGTGATGGGATAGGCTGAAGGAGGCTCTACCATCAACTTCTCAGATGTTGTCATGGAGGTCTCCCGAAGGATAGATTTAGGTTTGCTGCAGGTCCATCGCCGCTTAGCTGCATGTTTGGGGTGCTGGATGTCAGATAATTTGCCAGCTGTGGAAAGATCAGTGGGTAGGAGAGTGGATGTCACAGCTATAGGTTTTCTGAGTCTGGTGGCACTGTTGGGGGAAGTTTTGTCAGTGAGCATACCGCTGTCAATAGCTACTAAAGGGGACTCATTTTCAATCACTTTCCCTGGCTTGGTGGCTCGAAGATCTTTTTTACTCCCATCTGGCTGAGAGCTAGTCCTGTTTACTACTTCACTGCTCATAGCAAGTCCAGAAGGCAGGTTTTTCTCCTGGAGAGTTTTCTCTAGGGAAGATTTCGTGGATTGCCTTTTTTTCCTTTTGTGGCCAGATGTATCCATTGTCGGAGACTTTATTGGGATAGTAATTCGTACGTGACTGGTGTCACTTTCACAACTTCCAGCAGAAGTGGGATTCTGCTTCAAGGGTGATGTATCCAACACGCTGTCCATTGAGTAAGACTCCTTTTTTCCTTCCATGCTGTCATGGGATTTGCTGTCAAATGCTTTCTGAGCACTCTTCACCCATTCGATGTCTGTGGTTTGGATGGTTTGACTTATCAAGTCCTTTTTGCTGGACTTCTTCTTTGTACTCCCAGTGGGCTGATCAGGGGCCTCCAGCTGCACACCTCCCTCTTGATCACCAAGAGGCAAAAGCCCATTGCAATCAGAGGCGCTGTTTGGCTGGGTGGCCACGTTGATGTTGTTGGGTGATGAGACTGCACTGCAAACGGCAAGCTCTTTACTACTGGCCGACAGTTGTCCCCACGTGCTGCTGGCACAGGACTTCTTTGCTTGGGATTTGCTGAAGGAAACACCTGGCTCCGGAGCAGGAACCTTGGTGGCACTAACTGCTTCTCGACTGGGCTCTGTGTTGATGAAGCAACTTTGAGAAGTGGATCCAGTATCAGAGCTCGCTGACCAGTCAAGATGGTGCTGGTTGCTACTTTTCTGCTGGTGCTTTGATTTTAAGGTGTCACCGGTGAAGTCTTGTTGGAGGCCTGGATCATAGTGCAGAGCAGAATGTTTTTGTGGCCTGTCATACACCTGGAAGGTAGAAGAAAATAAATAGAAAAAAAAAAATTAGTTTCTTATTCCCTTCCGAACCCCTGGTTGCAGCTCTTTATTTATACAGTGAAGGATAACTCTTAACCAATTTCCTTGTAAGGGTTAGGAGCCTTTATAAAGTCTTCTTATGCTTGAGCTAAATTTACATTTAGATTCACGCACTGTAAACAAGTTTTGTTTTGTTTTCCCACTCTAAAAACAATGGAAATATTTCTATAAATGCCAAATTGCTAAGGAAACATATTCTATTGATTTTTAATTTAAAACACAAGGAAGATATTCCCTTTCAATGGATGAATAGTGCAACTTAGCCTCCTGGTGAGAATCTCTTTTTCCTAAAAAATAATCCCTCACAGAACTAGATGCTCAAGAACAACAACTAAGCTCATTGTTATAAACAAGAAAAATGGAAAATAATCTCAGAAGTTGTAACAAACAAGAGGAAAACCCACAGGTCCACTTCCTTATGAAGCCAGAATCTGCAAAGATTTGCTTGCTTAAATTTCCACATAGAAGTCATCCCCACAATCTCACTGCTTAAAATCATATGCGTAGCATCAAGAGTGTGAGGCACACTTGGCAGGTTCAAGATTTGCATTACTCCCTTTCCATTTTAATAATCTGCTATTTGCAATGTTGGTAAGAGATATTTTCAGTATGATTTCTAATCCGACAGCAGCTCTTCAAGCAGCAGAGGTCACAGTGAGGGCAGAATTATGCTGAAGACTGTTACAGAGCAAAATAAAGTCTGCTTTTTTTTCTTGGTGGGTCTCCTTCAGCTAAAGAAACTATATTTTCTACGGCTGTAACCTTCTGAACAGCCTCGTAAAGCAAAAAAAAATTATTTTTTACTTTCATTAACTGACCTCTTTTAGACATTTGTTTTCTTCTGTTAAATTTAGGAGCTTCTTTTTTGTAAATCTTTGGATCAAACTGTGCAATTCATTTTGTACACCTAGTACTGCAAACAACTGTTCTTAACAAACTGTAATGACACTGTTCCAAATGCCAAATAAATGATGAGAGACTTAAAATAAATGCGTAACCAAGGAAAGAACAATAGAAAACAACTGCTAAGAGTCTCATGTTTCTGCAAACAGTGTGTTACAAGTAAGTTTCTATCATTCGCGTTACATCAAATCCCAGTTCAGGGTGTTCGCAGCAGAAGATTTGGGGTAAGGGGGCTGCCAGCTTAAGAGAGTTTTGAGCTGGGAAACGAGGTGTGCCCAGTTCTGAGCAACTTCAGAGGGATTTGAAAGGTGCTAAACACCCCCAAGCCCGTGGTGCATGGTTTAGTGACCGGGAAACATACATGTTTTTGGCAGATTGGTGTTGAGATGTCCTTCATGTGCATGTAAAAACAGGCATGTGGTTTTTCTGGAACAGACAATAACGATGAAGCTGTGCTGGTCCATTGTCTGAGGAGCAATCAGGGGCTCTTAAATCCTGTGGATAGTTCAGCTGTTGCGCACATGGACCAGCCATGCTCAGGGAAAGCAGAGATTTCCAGGAATTGTGGAGTGAGAAAATGAAAGCATGCAGCTGCGGCGGAGCTGCAGATGTGGCGGGCGAGCGACACCCGGTTGCTTCAGCCTGAGAAAAGAGCCGAAAGCATAAACAGCCCTTGGGGAATGAATCAGTTGTTCCTCCTCCTCCTCTCGGCGGCCTCCCGTGCTCCTGCCACACAGCGCTGATGCCCTCCTTTGGCAAAGGGAGCCCACCCATGCCTCCATGTCCTTGGGATGCGGCCAGTGAGGGGTCGAGAGGATATCAGCAGCGCTGACACTGAAGTTTGATCGTTTTTTGTTTGTTTGTTTGTTTTAAACCTATCACAGAGCTCCTGAGCTTCATTTCACCTCAGCCTTTTGGGGTTTATCCTGCTCCTAGAGGTGTCCTGTCAGCTAGGTAGGAGGAGGGGTGCAGAAGGTGGTCATCCCCTGGTGAGGTCCCAGCGGGCTGGAGGTGAGTGCCCTCCACCCCAGCCTCATGTGAAACATCATCTTCCCTAGGTACCGTGATCCATGGCTTGGAGAAGCCCTGGAAACACACATAGGCAGGGCCAGGCTGTTTCTGCACAGAGCCTGGCTTTATGGCTGTCATCAAAGCAACTCCTTACGCCCATGTTATTTCCAAAATGTTGAGCTGTGAAACTAAATGACCTGAAAAATTTCATCTGGAAGACAAAGCTAAAAAAAAAGACAGAGGATTACAGCAGAGAGTGAAAACATAACACACTGGCAACACCCTGGTCCCTCCAAGTCCACCACATGCACAGAGATCTCTAGTTTAAGAGGAGCAATAATCTCAGACGTATGTTTTAAGGTAGTTAATAAAGGCTCAGAACGGAGAGGCCAACTATATATCAGTGATGAATGCTGATATATCACTTGGCTTCTCCAGCCTCATTTCCTTGGCCTGCAAATTATAAAATGATGATGCAACTTCCAGCATATCCCTAATGACAGCCCTGTCATTACTCCAGCACCACAGGCCACCACAACATCTATCTTACAATTCATGAGGAAGATATGCCTATGTCATCAAAGGTGCCAGCTCTGGAGGCATTTAATCACACGGATAAGCACTCCCATTTCAACAGGCCTTCGAAAATGACCAGCCTGCAGGATCAGGGGACTCCATTTCCTAAGCAGGATGTCAAAATTATATATCTACCCAAGCACATAACAGTCTACTAAGTTTCCTCATGCAACTACTTCTAGCGTAACATTGACTATTTGCTTTCCCTTGCCAGACGCGTCCATCTCACCCCAAAACAATTCTTCAGCAGCACAGCAACCAGAGATCGCTTGACTGCAGCAGGCTGGCTTTCACTGACTGCAATGGATATGTCAGCGCTGTTTCCCTAAAAGCACTACCAAATCAGCTGAAAGTAAAGCAACCGAGTGTATTTTCTTTCCAATGTATCCATCCGGGTTGCTTTCTGATCCCGTTGGTCCTAATGTTGAGGATTCAATTTTCCCTGCAGGGTGAGTAGACCCCTAAGAAGCCAACAAACTCCAGCTCAGCTCACCTAAAGCCTCTGCTGAGCTCACGGGGGACACCAGAGCTGTCAGTAGGGTGAGGGCAAACAGGGCTCTTCAGAAACCTGTATCTTGCTGCCTTTTTACAAATTCATTACTTTATTCATCAGTGAGCGTGCAATATACTGCAGCTCCATAGGTCTTGGCAAGGGGCTGTTGACTTGAGCAGAGTTCCTATGGCAGCATGGCTGAGACCAGCATCAAGAATAGTGGACTTTTTAATGAAAACAGAAAGATTTACCTTTATTTACTTTTTGGTTTATGACACCCTAAAAATACTTCAAACTTCAGTGCCTCCCTCTATTTGTAGTTTACCCTTTCACGGGATTTTCTTCAGCAGCTAGCAATTCTGCACTAGGAGTCTGCTCCTTCTTCTTTTATGAAAATAGAAGCATAACTTAATATTTTGCAATTCTATCACATGAAATAAATAAAATTCACAATTTGATCACATCTCAACAGACTTGGTCAATATTTTTCTTGATATTCAGTTTACTGTATGTGCTTAGTGGGTAATAATCCCATCTTTCCTTTAAAGAAAATAAAATACATGTACAGAAGATAATCGTTTTCATAACTGCAAAGAAGTTTGAGCAACATGATCCAGCACATGTGAAACATTAGACAAAAAAACCCACAAAATCTGAATTCTCTTATTAGCAGTATATGATTTTAATACCAAACTCATGAGATTCAGTACTCAGATTCAGCAACAGTGGGTTGACCTATTAACAAGATACATCTCGTATACGGGCAACTGAAGAGCACTGGCCAGAGACCAGAGTCAGAGGGACTGTGTGTTCATTCCTGCCTTGCCAAACTTGTGCAACCCTGCATCTACAGAGGTGATCACACCTCTTAACAGCTTTACTGTGGCATGCAGCCCTTGCAACCGAGGGCATGAGACTGTATGAGTCCCATGATGAACAGCACCCTACTCTGCAAGCAGCATCCAGCAGCAGAATCCATCCGTCAGGGACTCTTTTTATTTAACTACCAGGTATCTCACTCTGTCTCCCCCTTCCCTCTTCTGAGCTTCTCTCTAAATCCACATGCTGTTTTCAGTCCCAAAGCAAAAAGTGGGAGGAGATGCCAGCAACAAAATTAAAAGCTTAGTAAAATAATAAGAAAATAATCCAAATAAAAAATGAATATAATTAAAAATAATGATAACAATAAAATACACAATTAGAGAAATCCATCACCTGAAAAAAAAACTGATTGCTTACAGAGGATGCTCCAAACGCACTTTTTTGTGGAGGTAACGTGCATATGGCTTGTCAAGAATCTGGCTTGCAAATCAAAGTTAATACTACAACGCTCCCTCTTTAAATCATTCGCAGATCCATCTGTGTAATGGCTCCTCAAGTGTAATTCCCTATTAAGAGGCTTTATCTGGAGAGATAAGCAGCTGGTTCCCATGTCACTAATTGCTGTCTGCTGTGATTTTAAAACATCTGCACCATTGTGCTCTTCATTTTCATATTCTAATCACCCTGAAACTTGAAAAAGGTACATCATTGATTGTTTCTGTGGGTTAATTAGTACACAGTCTCCTTGTAGAGACAATTTAAAGGCAGTCAGAACCTCAATCATCAAGTTTGTTTTAAAAATTAATAACATCAGGAGCGTCTGTGGGGATTGGCATCCACAGTGACACATCAGAGTCTGCTCTGGGGACATACCATCCTTTGTTATCTTCTTCATAGTCTGGAAATAAAATTTAAAAAAAAAAAAAGAAAAGAGAAGAAAAGAGGAAAAGCTTTCCTAAATGAATAATGTCACTTAGAATCAGAGTCTTGGGAAGTGCTGGCTTTTATCTCAAGGCCACCCCTGCCTCTCCAGTGTGGATGAATCCCTTCAAACACCATATAACACCTCTGTGTGGTCTAGGAAGTTTTGAGCCATTTTTAATAACAATTTCGGCAACTGGGAGCT